AAAAAAGAACAAGAGGAAGAATGAGAGAAAGAGGAAGAGGAAGGAGAAGAAGAGAAAAAAAGGAGAAAGAAAGAATAAAAAAAATAAAAAAAATCTGCAACTCCTGAAAAGCGGAAATTTTGATTATGAAAATGATCTTCGTTGTCGTTATTATCATTATTATCATTGTCATTATTAACGTCATTATTTTCTCTATTTTCTCATCATCAACTTCATTCTCACTATCATCAACACGCTCGCTATCAGCATCACCATCATTATATCAATTGCAGTTATTATGATCATTGTATACATTATCTATAACTCTATCTGAAAGAAAAGAAAAACAAAAACAAAAAAAAACAGCAAAAACATTTAAATCGGTAACAAAAACAGAAAAAAAAATCGGAACTAAATAAATCAGTCGATGAATAAATAAATAAATAAAATAATAAAATCTGTATAAAAAATATATATATACATTGGCCTAGAGACCCCCCCCCCGCTTGCTCACGCTTGCAATATCAACGACATCTGATCTTTGCAACAATGGCCTCACCTCCCGATACCTGTCTGCACTTGACCTTAATATGCAACATGTGGTCATTGCATGCGACTCGGGCTGCCTACCCGTCTGTTGCAGGCGAGTTGCATTCTGCGAGTTGCATTCTGCGAGTTGCATTCTGTCATAATTATTATCATGATCATTATTATTATCACTGTTATTATTCTTATTATTGTAATTCTTTTTCTTCTTCATCTTCTTAATATTATTATTATTATCAGTATTTCAATTGTTATTATTATTATTATTATTATTATTATTATTATTATTATTATTATTATTATTATCATCATTGTCATCATCATTATTATAGTTGTAGATATTTTCATTATTATTATCATCGTTTTATGAAGTATTTTCATTCATTACTAACATTATTGTTAAATGTTATTACTATGATAAATAATAATAATAATAATAATGATGACAATACTAATAGAAATAGTACTAATGCTGCTGATAATAATCATAATAACAAAAGTGATGATAATAACGATAATAATAATAATAATGATAATGATAATAACCATTACGGCCATTATCATTATGAGTATTATTAATGTAATTATCATCACTATTAATAAAGTGATCATTAATAGTATCTGGATTATCATCATAATCATTAACATTATTACAATTTTAATTATAATAATTTAGATTTGATTTATCATTATCAACACCACCATCACCACTACCACAAATACCATCATCATCATCATCACCAACATCATCGTTACCACACTCACTATCATCACCTTCCTCATCCTCATCACCACTACCATCATCCATATCATCCCCATCACTATCATTACTACCTTCATCATCATCATCACCGTCATCCACATCACCACCATCAACACCATCACTTTCATCACCACATCCACGCCATCATCCACAATAACCCCATCAACGCCATCATCTTCATCATCATCACTATCATCCACAATACCCCATCAACACCATCACCATCCCCATCAACGCCATCAACACCATCACCATCCCCATCAACGCCATCAACACCATCCCCATCCCCATCAACGCCATCAACACCATCACCATCCCCATCAACGCCATCAACACCATCCCCTTCATCACCACCATCCCCATCAACGCCATCACCATCACCATCGTCCACATCACCACCATCAACACCATCACCATCCCCTTCATCACCACCATCACCATCCCTTTCATCACCACCATCACTATCACCATCAGCAAACGAACACCTCTCACTTACTTTCACATCAACACACAATAACACACATGAACACAAGCGAGCATAACAGTGTCTAATCGTTTACAAATCGACGTTCCATGAAACTGGGAGGGAGGGAGGGAGAAAGGGAGGGAGGGAAGGGAGGGAAGAGAGGGAGGGAAGGGAGGGAGGGAGGGAAGGGGGAAAGGAAGAGAGGGAGAGAGGGAAGAGAGGGAAGGGTAGTGAAGGGGGAAGGAGAGAGGGAGAGAGAGAGAGAGAAAGAGAGAAGAGAGAGAGAGAGAGAGAGAGAGAGAGAGAGAGAGAGAGAGAGAGAGAGAGAGAGAGAGAGAGAGAGAGAGAGAGAGAGAGAGAGAGAGAGAAAGAGAAAGAGAGAAGCAGAAACAGAAACAGACAGACAAACAGACAGTCAAAGTGACGCACAAACAGACAAACAGACAGACAAATTGACACATAAACAAACAAACAGACAAACAGACGGATAAATCAACAGAACTGAAAGCCAGCCAGATAGATAGATAGATAGATAGATAGATCGGTCTATCCGTTTCCACTTCGCCGTTCCGTGAAATTCTGAATAAGAATCCGTTCTGTTTTCCTGGTAACTTGAGTGAGGGTGAGAGACAACGAGGGGGGGGGGGGGGGAAGGGGGAAGACAAATGGTTACTGCCACGGATTACGTGTGTGGGAGGGGGGTGGGGGAAGGGGGGAGGGGAGGAAAGAGAGGTAGGGAGTGAGGGAGGGAAGGAGGGAGAGGGTGAGGGAGAGAGAGAGAGGAAAAGGAGAGAGAGAGAGAGAGAGAGAGGAAAGGAAATGGAGGAATGGAGAGGGAGGGAAAGGAGAAAGAGGAAAGGGAGAGGAGAGGAGAAGGAGAAGGAGAGGAAGAGGGAAAGAGAAATAGCAAAGGAGAGGGAGAGAAAGGACAGGGAGACGGAGATAATAGAGTGATAGACAGACAGAGAGAGAGAGAGAGAGAGAGAGAGAGAGAGAGAGAGAGAGAGAGAGAGAGAGAGAGAGAGAGAGAGAAAGACAGACAGACAGACAGAGAGACAGACAGACAGACAGGGAAAGAGAAAGAGAAAGAGAAAGAGAAAGAGAGAGAGAGAAAGAAAGAGAGAGAGAGAGAGAGAGAGAGAGAGAGAGAGAGAGAGAGAGAGAGAGAGAGAGAGAGAGAGAGAGAGAGGGAGAGAGAGGGAGAGACAGACAGAGACAGAGAGAGAGATAGAGACAGAGACAGAGAGGATAGAAAGAAAGAGAGAGGTACACAATTAGATAAACAAATAAAGATATAGATAGATAGATAGACGGATAAATAGACAGAGAGAGAAAGAGCCTACCACACACCTCTGTCGACGGCGTGACAAACGAGCAGAGAGAGGCCGTGTTTATAGGCGGTGACACTTCCCTTGTTTCACAGAGCCTTTCCTCTGCCCATTCCCCTCCCCCCTTCCCTTCCCTTCTCTCTGCCCTCTTTCTCTTCCCTCCTCTTCTTTCCTCTGTCTCTTCCTTCTTTCTCTCCCTTTCTTCTCTTCCCTCCTCTCCTCTCTCTTTCTCTTCCCTCCTCTCCGCCCTCTGTCTCTTCCCTCTTGCTCTTCCCTTTCTTCTCTTCCCTCCTCTCCTCCTTCTTTCTCTCCCCTCCTAGTCTTCCTTTTTTCTCTTCACTCCTCTCCTTCCTCTTTCTCTTCCCTCCTCTCCTCCTTCTCTTCCCTCCTCTCCTCCTTCTTTCTTCCCTCCTCTCCTCCTTCTTTCTTCCCTCCTTTCCTCCCTCTTTCTCTTCCCTCCTCTCCTCCCTCTTTCTCTCCCCTCCTCGTCTTCCCTTTCTTCTCTTCCCTCCTCTCCTCCTTCTTTCTCTCCCCCCCCCCCCTCTCCCCCCCTTGTTTACATCATCCCGAGCCTAATATTGCGTCTCCATCTTCTCTCCTTTCTCTCACCCCCCCCCCATCATCATCATCCTCTCTTCCTCCTCCCTCCTTTTATTTGCATCATCCTTACCCCCTTCTTTGCATCACCATCTTCCCCTCCTCTCCTCACCTTTGCATCACTTCCCTTGCACCGCCACGCCCACACCCGTATTGCAAATGTCACGTTGCAACTGTAAACAAGTTTTCGAGGAAATGCAAAGGCGATAAAAAGAGGGGAAATTTCAGTCTTTTTTTTCTCTCCATTACGATCCTGTTTAATTTTGACACGGTATGTTTTCGATCGTACACACACACACACACACACACATACATGCACATACACATACACACACACACACACACACACACACACACACACATAAATGTATAGATATACTCACATTATTATTGTTATTGTTATTATTATCATTATTGTTAATGTTATCATTATTATCGGTAATGGTATTATTATTATTATCATTATTATCATTATTATTATCATCATTATTGTTATTATTATTATTATTATTATTATTGTTATTATCATTATCATTATCATTATCATTATTATTATTATTATTATCATTATTATTATTATTATTATTATTATTATTATTATTATTATTATCATTATCATTATTATCATTTTTATTACTATTATTATTGGCGACCCACTGAACACGAACTGGCGCCCCAGTGTTGGGTCGTGACTTGCTCTGTTAAGCACTTTGGTCCATGACATTAAGTGGGCTGTTGGTTTAGCGAGATTTTTCACGAGGTCTTTCGCTTTTCATTGATATGTCACATTTTTCTTTTTCAGGGAAGTTTCACGATTTTGTATATAAATATATATATATATATATATATATATATATATATATATATATATATATATATATATACATATATACACACACATTATATATAAACATATGTATATATATATATATATATTTACATCTATCTCTTTATCTATTTATCTATGTATATGTATGTATGCACACACACACACACACACACACACACACACACACACACACACACACACACACACACACACACACACACACACACACACACACACACACAAATATATACATCTCTCTCTCTCTCTCTCTCTCTCTCTCTCTCTCTCTCTCTCTCTCTCTCTCTCTCTCTCTATATATATATATATATATATATATATATATATATATTATAGATAAATAAATATACATGATTGTATATATACATACAAATAGACACAAAATTATATATGCATAATGATACATATATTAAAAGCACCCCTTTCCCCAGATCCGCCGAAGGAGAGACAGAGACAGAAAGAGACAGAAGGAGAGACCGCGAGAGGGCCAAAAGCATCCCTCGATCCCCTGATGTGAAAGCAATCGAGATCTACCGAGATGAGGCATCTAGTCACAGCATCCCTGTTGCTCCTGGCGGCCGTGGGAGTGCGTATGGGCGTGCGTGGGCGTCCTCAGGATATGAGCGCGGAGGACACCCACAAGAGATACGTCTTGGCGGAACCACCCAGGCGAGAGGTAACTAAATCCGGGTCGCGTGGTTGAGTTTTGTGTCCTTGTATATTTTGTTTTGTTTCCTTTATGTTATCGAGTTTTTTTTTAATACTTTAAGTTGTTGTGCATTTGTTTTGTTTACTTTATGTTGTCGAGTTTTATTAATACTCTTTTTTTTACTATTGTGATTAATGTGGTGTTTTCCGTTGTTGTGCATTTTTGTTTATTTGTTATCGTTTATTTTTACGTATATTTTAGGTTATGATTATTATGATTAGTGTTGTGTGTTGCCCTCTTATACATTTTTGTTAATTCTGTAATTATATTATCGAGTTTATTATTACGTTTACTTTAGGTGTTAGTTTATTATTACTTTTATTTTATCTATAATTATCATAATTAGTACAATGTTTTGCTGTATTTTGCGTCCTGTTTTCTTAGGTTTTATATGTATTGTAATTAGCATCATTACCGTCACCATTTCCTTCTATTTCCGTGCATATTATCACGTATATCTTGGGTATATAGTCATATTATAGTCCTGTTAGTTTTAAACTCATTCTTGATAGCATTACCATTATTATTATTATCGTAATCATTATCATTATTAATGGTATTATAGTATTATTATAGTATTATTCCATATACTCAATATTAGCACTATTATCAACACTCATAATATGAACATTATCATCATTATTTTAATCCTCAATTTCCAATAACATTACTCTTACCATTAGCATCAGTTACCAACAGTATCATTATAAGTACTAAAACTATTATTCTCATTCTATAGATCACCATTTTCATCAACCTTCCTTCTATTTTCATGATCACATCTTTATCAGTTCTCCTTACTCTCAAGACCATCATCATTATCCGTATTATCATCATCCTCATTAACATCATTAGTATCAGTTCTTCTCTCCATCATTATCACCATCACCATCATTATCATCATCATCACCATCATTATCATCTGTATGAACTATTAACCTCGTTCACAATATCATTTCAGCATCCTATTAATACCATTAATCAACATTCCAATTAATACCATTATCAACATCATTTCAATTAATACCATCGTCAGCATCATTCATATTAATGACATTATCACCACCATTCCTAACGATACCATTATCAACATCATTTCTATTAATACCATAATCAACATCATTAGCAACAGTACCTCTCCTTCTGCAATTACCACCTAGATCATTATCATCATTATCGTCATTACGAACAATAACCCTCACTCCCAACAGCACCATTGCCATAATCATCATCACCATCATTAGGCCAATCCCTCGCTCACTGCCACCGTGTCCACAGGCTGAACAGAGGAACTTCAGCTTCTGGGGGAGAGGCGCAGGAGGAGGCGCAGGAGGAGGCGCAGGAGGAGGCGGAGGAGGGTCTGCCGAGCGCCGTCCTAATCTCCCGTGGCAGACGTCGCCGAGGTGAGTGGCTTGGCAAATCTAGCTTTTTGAGAGAGAGAGAGAGAGGGAGAGAGAGAGAGAGAGAGGGAGAGAGAGAGAGAGAGAGAGACAGACAGAGGGAGAGAGGGAGAGAGAGAGAGAGAGAGAGAGAGAGAGAGAGAGAGAGAGAGAGAGAGAGAGAGAGAGAGAGAGAGAGACAGAGAGAGAGAGGGAGAGAGAGAGAAAGAGAGAGAGAGAGAGAGAGAGAGAGAGAGAGAGAGAGAGAGAGAGAGAGAGAGAGAGAGAGAGATTTGCCTAATGATTACTTCTTTTACCCCGTAATTCCATTTATAGACGATATTTCCGAATGTATTTTAATTTCTGAATGTATTATCAATTTTCACATAAGCATATGGCTGAAGGCTGCATATAACTTTATAATTTTCTTTCGTTACTCACAAGAATTCTCTAGTGTAGGTTCTCCTTAATTATTTCCTATAGAATATCATGTATTTATGATAAGTAATCACGAAACCAAACTGATATAAAGCAAACACTCAAAATTATATAAAAAATTGATACCACAGAGCAATGAACCTCAAACAGATGGTCTCATGTCACTGAGTCATTCCTTGTTTGAGTTGCCGAAGTCTTCCCTTGCATGGCGTGGACGTGAATTTTCTCCATAATATCATGCATTAACTATTCTACATCCGGACTAAATTCAGACCACCTGCCTCTGATGGTTCAATTACTCAGAGTATTTAAAGTTGATAAGGGCATTTGATCACCCTGGAAGACTTAATTCATTGAAATATTTCAATAATCGTAATTTCTCTTTCAAATTGTTGTTTGTGAGTTTCCAGTGTGAACCCCTTTTAAAGCAAGAAACTTTAGGCATACAACTAATATATTTGCCTTTAAAAGCATCGTGACTTTCCTTCTAAAAAAACCCTGCATGTACTCTCTTCGCATGCAGTTCTGTACTGTACACCCGTTCTCCTATAACACTACTTTACTTTTTTAATTATTCTTATGTTATTGTTATGTTTATGTTCTTGTTCTAAAGTCAGAATTGTCATTTTAGAAGACCTTTACGCTTCCTTTCAGTTTACGTGAGACTGTAGGATTCCCTGTGCAGGAATTCGGAAGTCGTCTTGCACCTCCTTCCTCCTCTCCTCCTTCTCCAGCACGACAGAAGCCCTCAGACACTAATGATGACTTGAGCAATCCTCCTAGTAATAAAGAATCACCTAGAGATTCATTATTCTCCCCCTCTTCTTCTTCTCCTTTTCCTCCTCCTTCTTCTCGAGTTCGTCTACGCTTTTCTTCGACTTACACCACTTCCTCACCTTCTTTGTCTCTCTCTCCTGGTTCCTCTTCGTCGCGTGTCCTGCCCTCGAGCGCCCTCCGACCTCCCGAGACGAAGGGCCTCGAAGAGAAGCCAGGCCTCTCTCGCCCAGACCCTAAGCAGACTCCCACAGGACTCTCGTTCCCCAAGAGAGTCGAGACCAATTCCTTTCGCACCAGACCAGCCGATCGGACCGGAGACCGCCTCCCTCCCCCGATAACGGCACAGACCAGAACCAAAATCAAAAACAAAAATAAACAAAGTCAGTTCTTAGAGGGTGGGCGCAGCGACGATTCAGAACGCAAGAACACTAGGCGACTTGGGCTCGTAAGGGACTTTCCTTCACAGACGAAGAGACGCGACAAAACGCACAACAGGAACAGACAAGGCACAGGCACAGACAGAGACGAAAACAGAGACACAGATGCAGACAGAGACGCAGATACAGACAGAGACACAGACACAAACATAGATGCAAACGCAGACACAGACGCAGACTACGAAACGACCAAGAGTGACGCCAACACTTCCGAATACTTCGAGGATCTTGAGTACCAAGAATCCGATCTATTTTACGACTACCTCTATTCCGAGTACCTGGACGAAGGCGTCGACTCAGACACTCAGACAGGTCCTAGCAGAGGCCAGACAGGTCCTCAGGACGCTCAAGACGAAGACGAAGGAAGTCGCCAAGACGGGGAAGACGGGGAGGTAGACCCAGACACAGACAGGTAGGAAGGGAAGGTAAAAGGACCTCTGAAGGAAACCTCGGAAGGACCTGCCTTGAGGGACGCTGACTCCTTGTGCTTGGGACGCGGTCGGAAGGGTCTTGCTTGCTCTTTTTCCTCTGTGCTTTTGGGAGCCTGGTTGCCAGCGGCGGGGATGGCGGGGGGAGGGTGCCGCGCCTCCCGCGACAAGGACGCTGACTAATTTGGAATTGTGCTGCGGTTATTGCTAACATCTGTGTGTTGCATATATACACATGTACTCTGGTGGTTATATTATATATATAAATATATCATATATAAGTTATATATACTTATACTATATAATATATATATAATATATATATATATATATATATATATATATATAGTATATATATATATATATATTTATCAATGTATACATATATATGTATATATAGTACATACACACGCGCGCGTGTGTGTTGGTGCGTGTCCGTGTGCGTGTGTGTGTGTACTATGTAAGTATAAATTAGCAATTTCACTGACATGGAATTGGACGTAAAATGGACTTTGTTTGCTTTCAGAATTTCTTTCCGAAAAAAGCGAGATATGGCACTAACATTGATTTTGTTTATTAAATCTAACAATAATAATGGGTTATCGATTTTTTTGTTTAAATCATTAAACCCTCTTTAGATTTTTCAGTATGATATGACAGGTTGAGGAAGTGACAGTGCATGGTGCTTCGGTATATTTTGGTCATCCATTTAGACACCACTGCTTTTCGCGAAGACAAAGCTTAAAATGACACTGGTTTTGTGACACAAAGCTTCCAATGACACTGGTTTTAGTGACTTAAAGCTTCAAATGACAGTGGTTTTCTTGACACAAAGCTTCCAGTGACACCGTTTTTTTTGTGACACAAAGCTTCATATGACACTGGTCTTCGTAACATAAAGCTTAAAAAATCGTTGTCGCTGCCATTTTAAAAGAAACGATTTCCCTTTTTACGCGTGCAGGTCGACCGCCTCAGAGCGTAGGATTCGTCCCTTTGCCTTGCCCTGACCGATCCTTCTTCCGCAGGACCCCGACTCACAAGCGGCGCCCCCCGCAGCGGCACAACCTGCGGGTGCACTCCTTCCAGAGCACCTTCCCCTTCGAGTCGGAGGTGCGCGGCGAGGGCTACCACTCCACCATCCGCTTCGACCCCTTCGGCAGCTCCTTGCCCCCGCAGAGCAGCCACTACCCGAAGAGCCAGACGTATGGCAACTGGGGCACGACGCGGCGCCCGAGGCCCGTGGCGTCGGCGGAGATCCCAGGGCCTCTTCCGGTCCCTAACCCCGCGGCCTACGCCAGCGCCGAGGTGTACAGCAACGGCGAGAGCTCGGGGCGTCTGCCGCTGGCGCCGACGGAGTTCCCGAGGCCCTTCCCTGACCCCTCGATCCGGGCGTCGATTCAGAACACCAGGTACCCGAGGCCGCCGCCCGCGCGCCCATTCCTCAACCCGGGCAACTTAGCGGGGCTCCTGGAGGGGGGCAGCCTGGGGGAAGCCATAACCCCGATCTCCGCCCCGGCCGATCTCACCACCGACGCCACGCCCCTGTCGCCGTCCGCGTCCAGGGAGGTCGTCTCGGGCCGCCCCTCGCGCGAAGACGTCGACATCGACTACCCCAGCGTTGCCAACGTGTTCGACGACCGCCCGAGCCAACCTCGCGGCGAGCAAATTGCCGCGAATGAAGCCAACAGCGAACCACGGCACGAAGCTCCGGATCACAAAGAAGCCGATACCGAACCCCAACACGAAGCTTCGGATCACAACGAGGCCGACCACAACTCTTCGGCCGGAATTGCACCCGAAGCGTCCATTGAGGTTGCCGTTTCGACCCCGCTCCCTCCTCCTGCCGACGTCGAAAACCAGGGACAGAACCCCGACCCGTCCCAGGAGTCCTTCGCAGACCGTCCTCTCACTCCTGAAGGATCCAAGGCCGAAGCAGCACATGACTACGATCCCGATTACTATGATAACTTGTACGATGAGTTCATGGACATGTACTACGACCAGACGGGGGCTGACGGGGGCGAGGGGCCGAGCAGTCCCCCCTCTCCTCCCGAAGACCACGAGGAGCATCCGGGCCGCAGCATACCGTCGACCACAACTTCTTCGAGTACAAATCCACCAACGACAACATCAACGACTACACCAACAACTACCACATCAACTGAGCCTCCCACGACAACGACCACAACAACCACTACAACAACACAACCTCCCACAACGACCACAACATCTACAACGACGCCGCCGCCTACCACTACTACTACCACTACAACAACACAACCTCCCACAACGACCACAACAACCACTACAACAACACAACCTCCCACAACGACCACAACAACCACTACAACAACACAACCTCCCACAACGACCACAACAACCACTACAACAACACAACCTCCCACAACGACCACAACAACCACTACAACAACACAACCTCCCACAACGACCACAACAACCACTACAACAACACAACCTCCCACAACGACCACAACAACCACTACAACAACACAACCTCCCACAACGACCACAACAACCACTACAACAACACAACCTCCCACAACGACCACAACAACCACTACAACAACACAACCTCCCACAACGACCACAACAACCACTACAACAACACAACCTCCCACAACGACCACAACAACCACTACAACAACACAACCTCCCACAACGACCACAACAACCACTACAACAACACAACCTCCCACAACGACCACAACAACCACTACAACAACACAACCTCCCACAACGACCCACAACGACTACAACCACCACCACAACACCCCCGCCCACGACTACCACCACAACTACGACTCCTGCAACTACAACAACGCAGAGAACAAAAGCAAGAACAACTCCCACGAACAAGAACGCAGGTAAAGTGATTGAAAATTCAGAGGCTTTTTTTGTCTTTTTGTTTTACGAAATCATCAAATACTCCCAGACTATAAATTCAATTAATTAAATTCTCTATTGTAATAACAATTCATCCTTTACAGCTTCTTAAAAAGTATTAAGACTTGGATATAACTCTTTATCGTATCTTTTTATTGTATCTTAACATTTTATATTTTTACCACAGCCGTGGCAAGAGGCGGCACTCCGATCAGCCTCTCGGAGATCCTGCAGGGCATGGGCATGGTCCTCCCTCAGTTCCTGGTGGCGCTGACGGGCGAGGGCATGTCCCTGAAGGAGTTCACGACGAGTCTCCAAGCCCGGGGACTCACGCAGAGGGAATTTAGCAGCGTCAAGGGGAGCATCCAGGACCTCCTTGCAATGTTGAAAGAAAATGACAGCGCAGAGGTTAAGGAAGAGCAGACTGAACGCACGACCACCACGAGTACAACGACTACGACTACCACTACCACCACGACCCCAACCACAACGTCTACCACCTCCACGACCACCACGACCGCCAGACCAACGACGACCCGGCCGACCACACCATCTCGTCCGCCCAAGATTTTTGGCTTCCTGCCCGGCGGGAGGCTGTCCTTCGAGGGCGCGAAGAAGCCAGGGAACTCGTCCACTGAGGAGGAGGCGGGGAAGGGCGCGGGCGAGGGCGTGCAGGCGAGCGAGGAAGGGGACGCGGAGACGCCTGCGGGAGCAGGTGCGGACGAAGGCAAGAGCCCCATCCCGATAAAGGTGGACCTCGCGGCCATCATGAAGGACAAGGGCCTCTCCGCTTCCGACATCCTGCACGACCTCGGCTCCCTCTTCAGCCTCACGGACAGCGGCCCCTCCAAGGGCGGCGCCGCGGCGGCGAAGGAGAAGCCGAGCCCGGCCGAGGAGGGCAACGCCGAGGAGGGAGGCGACGAGGCCGAGCCGAGGCCGCGCCCCTACACCACCCCCGAGACGCCCGTGTCCCTCCGCCCGTACCGGACCTCCGCAGAGTCCGGACGGCGTCCCCCGCGCCCCTACAGACCCCTGGGGCACGAGGGCGGTCGTAGCGACGGCAACTACCGCAGGATCCTGACGAACCGCTTCCAGACGACCGCGCGCACGACCCTGCGGCCGCCGTACGTGCCTCCGCCCTACGACCCCGAGAGCGACCTGTCCTCGCTGCTCGACGTCCTCCACAACTCCACCACCACCTCCGAGGACGGCAGCCTGTCCTTCGGGCTCTCGCGCGCCGGCGACAGCGCCTCCCCCGGCCACTCCTACGGCGACGAGTCCCGGTCGAGGCCGCTGGAGAACGACTCCTTCCCCTTCTCCGACGACGACCCCAACGCGCTCAACATGTCCACCAAGAGCGCCATCATGGCCGCGTCCGTCCTCGGCGGCGTGGCCATGTGCGTGTTCCTGGCCATCCTGGTGGTGGTGATGTACAGAGGGCGCGCCAGGAACCGCCGCGTGCCCCTCGCCCTGCCAAGCGACGCCTCCTCGTCGTCCACGCCGCCCATCTACTCCACGAGGATGAGCGTGGGCAAGGGCGCCTACAAATCCGCCGGCTTCTGGGGGACACTCAAGAAGAGGTTCGACCCCTACTCCCTCAGCTCCACGCCCACCACCATGTCCTGAGCTCGGTGGGCGTGAGGGGACGGACGCGTGCTTGTGGGCGTGAGTTAAGACTCGTGCTTGCGGGCGTGAGTTAAGGGACTCGTGCTTGCGGGCGTGAGTTAAGACTCGTGCTTGCGGGCGTGAGTTAAGACTCGTGCTTGCGGGCGTGAGTTAAGAGACTTGTGCTTGTGGGTGTGAGTTAAAGGACTCATGCTTGCGGGCGTCTCACAGGACCTAATGACAGTGTTGTTGCATGGCTGTGGGTCGTTTTTTTGCCATAATCCGAGGGCGTGTGTTGAAGTGTTTTGCAATAATTCTTCCAGAGCAACATTGCGTGATATTACTGCACC